TTTATACCTGATGTAAATGACGAGTTGATGGGTGCAGCACAGCAACATGGGCACAAGTATACATATGTAACAAACCTGCACGTTATGCACATGTACCCTACAACTTAAAGTATAATAATAATAAATAAATTAAAAAGAAAAAAAAAAAAAGAAATGCAAAAAAAAAAAAATAATAATAATAATAATAATTAATGCAATTATGGATATATTTGAATTTAAATCTACCATCTTAGTACTTGTTATTTATTCCATTTGTTCTATGTCCCCTTTTTTTTTTCCTTTCTTGCCTTCTTTTGGATTATTTTTTATTCCGTTTCCTTCCTGCTAAAACTTAATGGATATATATTACTTTTTACCACCATAAATGCTTTATAAACAGTGTTCTAATAAGTCATCTACTAAAATTTTATTTTACTTCTGACAGATTGGAATGATAAATGAGTCTGTTTTCTCAATGGCTGGCATAATTTTGATAGCAAACTTTCCAAACATCAGGACATCACACCCCAACAACATGACATCTTCAGAGAAAATTTAGTTAGAATGACAGAGAATTCCAGAAAAATTACTGCATACTGAGAGTCCCAATTTTTCAGAACTTCATTCAAAATGTTTATTTGGCCACAATCTCAAAACTATATTCCCAACTTGTTTCTCAAGTTTCATATTAATATTTGTAAACTTAAATTGTCATTTAAAATGACATATCTATCTTTAAGAGCAACAGGGTTGAAACCAACAGTAACATTAAGACAACTTTCTAAAATATGTACAAAGCTTACAATTTACAAAGTGCTTTCACAGCTGTTTAAGCAGGAATTTATAAATGCAAAGAAAACAACTTACCTAGAGATGAAAATGACTAAACTTGTGAATGGTGAAAACGTAATTTTAGAAAATACATATTTACATATAGTAAAGCATGGAATAAGGCTCAAAATATTCGAAAAACAGTGAGAGATGACAAGAACAGGAAAAAGAAAATGTCTCTTTATTTACATCCTTTAAGTAATATTCCCTTGAAAACATTCCAGTTAGACGGCATAAGAAACCCTTGCCTACACCTGGGTCAGCAAATTATAGCCTGTGGGCCACAAATGGCCATGCCCACTCATTTCCTCACTCTCTGTGGCTGCTTTTGCGGCACACTTGAATAGTTGCAACAAGAGACTCTATGGCTCATAAACTGAAAATATTTACCAACTGACCCTTTATAGAAAGAGTTTGTGGCTCCCCAGCCTACAAAAGACTTTCATGTCTTCTATTGGCCTGGGAAAATCCTGTTCTTCAAGTTATCTTTAGTCATGCTAGAAAAGAAGTAAACTGGGAAGAGAGAGACAAGAGAAATTCATAGAGGGGTGAGTAGTTTACCTTTCACCTTCTTACCTAGTGGAGGTACTTTCAGTAAGGTAATTGTTCCAAAAATGCCAATGAGATGCTTGCTCATATCCTGGAAACCCTGTTCTTATTTTCAGGCATTTTTATCTATCTCAGGGCTATGGATGCAAATGGCCTATTAAAGATTCAAATGAGAAGAAAGGAAAGAAGACCTCTTTTTGGAGCCCACTGACACACTTACCTCCGGCAGAGTGAATACATCCTGTTGGAGGCAGTAATTCGAAAATACTCGGGTCTTGAACGGGAAGAGCTGCCACTTATGGTTCCTAAACCTAAACGCTGATAGTCTCTGAAACAAGCCTTTTCCACCAACTGCTCCATTGTAGACTTCTCGGAGGCCTTCAGGGTGGTACTTGTGGGGAGCTCACTCTCATCTGAAACTGGGATGGTAGAGACAGATATTAAAGAAATGATTAGCTCAAAGCACAGGATTAAAAACTTCCTTTTGGGCTGGGCATGGTGGCTCACACCTGTAATCCCAGCACTTTGGGAGGCCGAGGCAGGCGGATCACGAGGTCAGGAGTTCAAGACCAGCCTGACCAACATGGTAAAATCTCATCTCTATTAAAACTACAAAAAATTAGCCTGGCGTGGTGGCAGTCACCTGTAATCCCAGCTACTTGGGAGGCTGAGGCAGGAGAATCACTGGAACCCGGGAGGCGGAGGTTGCAGTGAGCTGAGACTGTGCCACAGCACTGCAGCCTGGGCAACCGAGCAAGACTCTGTCTCAAAAACAAACAAACAAACAAACAAACAAAACCCAAAAAAGTCCCACTTCCTTTTGAAGAAGACCCTTACACCAAGACAGGTTTATATTAGGATGATAAGTATTATGTATATCACAAATTAAATCATATAACTTCTGTGAGGGATCACACTTAAATAAACATAAATTAAAAGTGTAATGAATAGTCAAGAAATAAAATATCAGTAATTCAACTAAAAAATGTCAGGAAAATAATACCTTTAAATAATTTCTAAAAACAATATAATTTTGAATTCATTACCTACACTGTTCTGTTTCACGCAGGCTTGCTTATTGTCAAATTGCAGTGATTTCCATTTAGGACTCTATACAAACACCCAAAGTTTGTCAGAGGCTAACCCATCAGTAAAATTTGTCTTTCGTATAATCACTATACAAGCTCATCATCCAGATTTCAGTTTACTTTTCAGACCATAAGCTTTTATTAGAAATTTCTGGATTAACCAGAAGTTCATTAGAGGGAAAAAGAACTGTATTTCCTCAGAGAGGTATAAAGAAGTTACACTTTTTTCCTGGAAATATTTTTGTTAGGGGATGTGGTGTACGTGGGAAACCCCCTCACAGTTTTACAATCACAGGTTACAGAATCCTTTACGATTTTAGATGTGGAAGAATTTACTCAATAATCAAATATTTTAGGGAGGCTTTTTTTTTTAAAAGGACATTCCTAATTGGTACTGCATGTTCTAACTGAAAAAAACAAACAAATTCCATGTTAAAAACTGTCCTAATTTACTTCCTTATTTATTTTGAAAGTAAGAGACATCAAATCAAGCTTTCAAAGTTTTTGAAAATGTACTCAAAGTACTAATGTGCAGGCAAAGCTATGGCCCTCTTTCATTAAAATACATTTTTAAAAAGCAGAAAATCAACAGCTGCGTTTCAATTTGTGAACTTTAATTCGTGTTTCAATTTGTGAACTTCACAATGCAATACAATCAGGTATCAATTCTGTGTTGGCCTTTTATTTTCAGAGGAGCAAAGAACATTATATAATTTTGTCTTTTAGTAGAATAATTATCATAGAATAATAAGTTTTGTTCCATGAAACATAAAAAAATTGAGTTAGAAGAGTCAATAGTGATGGGTAGCAATAATATTTTTATGGCTTGACATACGACTGCGAAAAGATCAGGGTTCCAACAAATGGTTATTTCAGTAATGTAATGGTGGGTATTTTCACTGCCCCCAGAGGCAAGCTTGTATGTACACATTCTCACCCAGGCATGCATACATACATACAAAACCACATAGGTTCTTTTTTATTTTTATTTTTTGAGGCAGAGTCTTGCTCTGTCCGACCCAGGCTGAGGTGCAGTGGTGCCATCTTGGCTCACTGCAACCTTCTCCTCCCAAGTTCAAGCAATTCTCATGCCTCAGCCCCCTGAGCAGTTGGGACTACAGGTGCATGCCACCATGCCTGGCTAAAATTTTGTATTTTTAGTAGAGACAGGGTTTCGCCATGTTGGCCAGGCTGGTCTCGAACTCCTGGCCTCAAGTGATCTGCCTGCCTTAGCCTCCCAAAGTACTGGGATTATAGGCATGAGCCACTGTGCCCAGCCCACATAGGTTCTTTATCCCAGCAACTGAAAATGGAGACCTGTTAGCCAGTGCTTTCTCTAAAGATGAGGTTTCTTTTTAAAAATGTTGTTGCTAGTAGTAGTAGTTCTTGCATAACCACTTGTGACTGATTCTAAGATCCTGAGGGGAAAAAAAGGGTGTAACGGCATTCTGCCTCCCATTATATCACCTTTTCTGTAGTGCTGATTCCATAGCATATTTGATACTGGGTTAAGAACGGGAAACAGTCACTCAGACATTTTGCTACTAGCTTTCTGCCTCTATTTTTCCCACTCAGAGGTATTGTAGCTGTTCTTTCAAATATTTAGCAAGTATTTTTTCTTATGACCTAAGTGTTCCTTCATCTTAGGTCCCTCATTTTGATTAAGAGCACCAACAATGTTCTTACCAAAAACTGAAATCTTCAACTTGAAATGTTCAATGTCCTTACCTTAAATTCTTATTCTAGAAGAATAAGATACAGGGGACTACCCTATACCTAAATTTCCCATGCAGTGAGGTTTCCTTCTTTCTTCTTTTAATGAGACCCACATAAAAATGACCAATTAGCTGTATGGATTTAGTAAAGAAGAAGTATAATTTAACAAAATATTACCTGAACAATGGAATACTGGGAAAATATTTTCCCCCCAGTTCTAAGAAGCTGGTAAGTGCTTCCATCTTCTCATGAGATCTAGGTTTTCGTGAATCAAAATTTAAGCGCAACTACATCTTAGTCTCTTATTCATATAAGAAAGTTGAATAATGAAGGAAATTCAAGTTCTCACATACCAGATACATCATCATCTTCATTCCATCCAGGACGATTTACTCTTTCTTCCACAATTGTCCCTGTCTTCTTCTTCAGTAAATATTGCCGTCCAATTGTCATTTTCCCTGCCCTTTTGGCACCTTTCACAATTGTTTTTGAGAAGGTACTACAAGTTATAAAACCAAAAAGAATGTCAACTTAATATAAAAGCACTACTTGTATTGTTGATACCTACTTAGCTCAAATTGTTTCTTTTCCTTTCCCACAGCCACTACTGGTCCAGACTTTTGTTAAGCCTCTCCTTCTTTAGGTTATTTTTAATACGGCAGTAGACTAATTTCCCATAAAACATCATTGTCATCAGGACACTGTCTTAGGCAAAACGTGCAGGAAAACGTAAAGTGAGACGCAAACTACTTATCACCCCAAATCTAAACTCCTTGGTTTGGCTTTTTGGGGAGGACTGCCCTGAACCCACTCTGGTTATCCCCATGCCACTGTCCCTACCACAGTTCCCACAAAGCATGCTTGTTGGAGTCCTCCTACATGGAAAGCTAGCCTGCCTGCTTCTCTACTTACTCAAACTCTCTTTCTACCAACTCCCAAGACTTTCTCTGAGATCATATGACCTTCATAGTTGGCAACACATTTGCTTATTTCTTAACTGTTTTAAGTGTGTATATGTGATGTCCTGACTCTAATTAGCTGTAAACCTTAAGAAGCATAGAAAAATAATATAATTCCCCTTTTTTGAGAGGATAAAAATAAATCAGAAACTTGAGTATCCTTTTGAGAATCAGCTTTAAAGGGAAATTAAGATGTAAATCATCTGGAACTAAAAGTACTTTATTTATTCAAACAATTTACCCCTTCTTGCTGACAGAAAATCTAGGCAATCCAGAGAATTAAACAGAGAACCTATTTCCTGACTAATCAGATGGAGGTGAAGATTCTGAAGACTGTTCTTGATTATATTCTTCTCTATCACAAAGAACTCTTCTGTTGTTTTCCTGCCATTCAGTAAAAAGTGATAAGGCTTCTTTTATGGTCAGTTTCACCAGACTCCGTCTTTAGTTATTTGCAATGTAAACCTGAAGGTTATGAAACAAGTTTGAGATAACTGCTGGGAAGCATAAAATACTGATATTTGCTAAATTAAACCTATTGTAAGTCACTTGTATAACTTTTATTTTTATTTTTAAATTTTTATTAGTGGGCTTTCTGGCAAAAAATGGAAAGCCCGCTAGACAAATTCCAAAAGAGCTGTAACACCAGGTATAACTTAAACTCTATGGGAGTTTTGAAATTTTTTCCCAGCTAAAGCTATATCTTTTGTTTCATATACCCAGGCAACTCTTAAAATTTTCAAATTGCTGTATCTCTGTTGCAGCTGATACAACAGGCTTGATACAGGTATATATTTCTGAAACTAATATAAATATACATGTTTCTGATAGTTTGTAAATGTAAAATATCACACAAAGCTTTGTCTCTTCCATTGAAGGCTGAGATAACAAACATCATAGGCTCCTCTGCAACCCTATGGTGCTAAGACAAGATGCTTGGTCCACTGCTGTAAATCCCTAGGAACTTGGTCATGCTTCAGCATACCATACCTGGATATTTCTGGTCTCCTTTGCTTACCAGGTAATACAGGTGGCTAGCTGTGCAACTGAGAAATAATATACTGTCTGAAACCTCAAATCTTCTATAATCCCCAATCTACTCTTCTTTCAGGCAAAAGGAAAGGCCTCTTTTCCAAAGTCTGTAAAGCTCTCCCTAGTATTATAATTTGTATTGGCAGATGCCCACATTCTACATGGTTAACAATGAATGAAATTTTAGCCCTTATATTTTATCACTGATGGAAGATAACTTAAAACAATTGTTATTTTGTAATAACTGAAGTTTAAAACTTTCAACATAAATTTCTAAAAACTTTCTAGAAAATAAGGGTTCATACTAAAGAAATATGACAACCAAATGCAATGCCTGATCCTGGATTAGATCCTGGACCAGGAATAAAAAAGTTTAGGTTCTAAACTAAAAAAGGATCATTAACACAATGTGAATATAGACTCTGGGTTAGGTAAAAGTTTTATATTAATTAAATTTTCCGGTATTGATTACTGTGCTTATGTAAGATAATGTTGGGCAAGGGGAGAGAGGGCATTAGGACAAATACCTAATGCATGCGGGGCTTAAAACCTAGATGACGGGTTGATGGGTGTAGCAAACCACCATGGCACATGTATACCTATGTAACAAACCTGTGTGTTCTGCACATGTATTCCAGAACTTAAAGTATAATAAATAAATTTAAAAAATAAAACAAATAAAAAGATAATGTCTTTGTTCTTAGGAAATATATTTAAGGATAAATACATTACTTAACGTATTTATGTGATGTACTGAAGGATAAAAGGACATCTTATATCTAACTCAAATGGCTCAAAAAAAAAATGTGTATATATAAGAGAGAGAATGATAAACAAATGGACCAAAGTAGAAACTATTGGTGAATCTGGGTAAAATATATACAGAAATTCTTTGTACTACTGTTACGAATTTTCTGTAAGTTTGGAAGGTTCAAAAGAATTACGTAAAACAGAAAATAAAGCCTCCTGTTTCTAGATAACAGCAAATCTGTCCACTGGGCCTGGATATTAATAAAAGCTGAAGAAATTGGTCAAAAGCATTTAGAAAGTGATCAATATGGAAAAAAGAGAAAATAGAATTTCACATTCTAAAAAAGGATTGTGAGCAATGGACATGACAGTCAAAGCCTCTGATAGCTTTTAGTGTTTGAAACTTGCTACATTTATCAATGCTGCTGTTCTGTAACTTTATGATCTTGGCCCCATGGGCTTGACAGAAACAGAACAGTGAATGAAAAGAGCAATTGCTTACACCTGGACACAAAGGATAGGTCACTCCTTTTGCAATCAATTATGGGAGGGCTGAAATTAACAGACTCGTCTTTCTTCTTACCGAAAAGAAGTGTTCTTTTCCTTCTGTTTTGGTAAAATTATTTGTGGGGTAGTCTGTCCAGCAGCAAAAGCAAAGGTGCTGAAAATGGACTGAGGATAACGGAACTTCATCAGCTGTTTCTTAAAGATCTCTACTACTTCTGGACTGACTTCTTCATCAAATGCTACCTTAATCAACTAGAAGCAAAAGAGATTAAACACAAAAGAAGCATTAAGGATTTCCAGGCAACTTTCCCCCAAACAACAGAATATAATAACACAAAATGGCAAGACTGGAGGTTGAAGGGACTTTGGATAACATGCACATAATTTTTAAATTTTTAAAAATAAAAGGCTCAAAAAGGTTTACTTGCCATAAATGGCTAGTTGGCAAGGAAAATCATGTATCTTCAAGTCAGTTTCTTTAAGATTATTTCTTCTACAATGGGATAGGGAATTGTACTAGCAAACATGCCCTTCTCATTTCTCAACTGGTTGGTTCCAGATAGAGAGTTTGGCCTAATAAGGACTCTTCCTACCCAGATACAACAAATGTAGGAAGAAAAAAAATCCATTTGACTAGAATCCTAATCAGTACAGCTAGGCAATATTCAAGTGTGGAGTTCTTTGGAAGTTGGAACAGTGAGGAAATCCTTAGGCAGCCAATGTTTTCAGGTGATGAGAGGTCTGGAGCCTAAAGATCAGCAGCCTTACATTTCACACAATTAGCACAGAAGCCAATAGGAGAGATCCTTGACTAGAAGGTATGAGGCAAGAACTGAAATCTGAAAAGTGATGAAGAATAAGAAAAGCAAAATATTACAAACTGAGAATTTAAAAAAAGGAAAAACTAAGAAAAGGTCACTTCTTCCAGGGTCTGGTTTGCATCAGTAATTCTACAAAGTTCTGACATAGTCATAAACCCCTGGGAAACCTCTTGCTTTATCAGGGGTATGCAACTAGTACCAATAGAACTTTAGCCCTAGCTATACTTTTTATCTCTCCACAGAACAGCCACAGGGCGTTTCCTTCAAAACAGATGCCAAGACAACTGCTTTTTATCTAAAGGCTTCATCAAACAGGTACTGAGGTACAACTTGGGAAAGAATAAGAACCAATTGTATGTGTCTAAGTTTCTAAGATCACTCATTATTGAGTATCTGTTGGTACTCTGAGTTCACTAAGGGGCTCCAGGGATTAAATCCAATACCACTCATGAGTTTACTGAGTTGATGATTACCCTCTCAGAGCCTATGATCTTCCCCATTCTCATCCTCGTAACTTCTGAGCACATGACCACAGAAAATGGCCACCATATCATTTGACTTTTGAAAATTTTTGAATAGTAAAACAATGGCTTCCTTTTTTAATACCTGAAAAGATGCTGATGTGATCTGCAGTCCTTCTTGCATGTTCTGCTGTAGTTGGTTCTGCATTGTAATCTTCTTCTCCTTGGTGATGGAGGCAATGGGAAAGCTCCGCACAACTGTCTGCTCACCCACTGTAAACAGACAGGACACAGCTTTAGCAACAACACTTTATAGCTCACTTCTAGAGTGTCTACTGCTCACTTCATTAGTCACTGCTGGAGAAATGTATTTGAAGAGGACACTGCCCAGGGATGCAGTGAAAGAAAGTGCCCTTCACTCCAGGAAAGGATTATGTCTCAGGAGCGGCAAGTGACTTACATTTCACACAATTAGCATAGGAGGCAATAGAAGGGATCCTTGACCAGAAGGAATGAAGCAAGAACTGGAATTCTTGGAAATCTGAGAAGTTAGAGACAAGTGACTTGCCACTCCTGAGACAGAATCCTTTCTGGAGTGAAGAAACTGTCACAGCCTGACTGCCTTCATTCTTTCTATCTCCCCAACCTACTGTGTGCCACACAAGATCTCCTGGTTCAAGGCAATTTTATAGGAAGGGAGGTTTTGTACCAAAAAAAAAAAAGTACTCCTCAAGTATTGAAAAGACATCCAAGATATTTAATGTAAGGATGAAGCAAAAGAGAACAGGTTTTTAAAGTTTGTTTCCATATATGGTAAAAGGTGTTATACTATATATGTGTGACTTTGGAAAACAAGCCTGGACTTAGGCGCAAGATTTTTAGGAGTTTATTAAAGCAAACATGGGAAAATATAAATAATTATTTATCAAGTACCTGAGGTTACGAAGATGAGAGTCTAGAAAAAAGTAGCACACTCAAGACCTCCCTTGAAGAGCTTCCAATTTCCCGTGGGAGGAGAGTCACATGCAGAATATAATAATATGTGGTTAGCTCTTACGTTTGAGGGAACAGACTACGGGGATTTAAATATTTCAGAGAAGGATCTCTGCATGCTAGATGGATAGAAAATGATTTCTGGGAGAAGTGAGGGAGAAGCTGAGCTTTAAAGGAAGTGTAGAATCTGGATTTGCAGAAGGGAAAGGAAGAGCATTTTAGGCAGTGGTAGAGGAACATAACAGGAGTGGCAATGAACAAGGCCTCCCAGCTAGTAAGCCAGGGTGGGGGGGAGGTGGGGAGATGTGAACTAGGTTCATCTTATTTAACAGCCCATACATTTCTTCATTTATTATAATCAGAATCCTAATTCCCTGGATCTATCAACCTGTAATCTAGAAAAATTCTGACTATCTTTTTACATCAAGCTCATATCGAGAGGCTAAGCAAAGTCAGGATGTACATAGGATTTAAGTTCTAGGATGTATTTAACACCTACATTTATATAACATGTAAAATTATAATATTTAGATGTGTCATTAAAGGAGAAATTTTAAATTAGAAATTTAAAAGGAAATAAAAATATTTTCTTCGACAAAAATAATTTTCCTAAGTGAAATTAATCCAAAATTTGAAAGGAAAAAGCCAGAGAATATGAGATTTCACACTAAGCATGACTTTAAAATAAATTACAGCAATTTAAATGACCATGTAAGTATCACATGTTTATGTGTCCAAAATGTATGTTTATGGCCATTAATCTCACGAAAGTCCTACTATAAAAAATGGTAAGTACTGTATGGTTTCTTTTAAAAGTACGTTTACTTTCAAATACAATTTGTGTACAGCAATATGAAGGAGTGGGCTAAGACATTTTTTCTCCTTTTCACTTTTTCAAAATAAGCAGAACTATTCTTACAAATTCATCTTTTCTTATTTAATTTTACAAACTTGTTGCACATTATATGGTAAGCAGTCTTTTATGACTGATATACTAAATCATCTTGATTCTATTCAACCTAGGGATAATGCAACTGCTAAGATTTAAAAGAGAATACATTTTATAGATCTGAATTCAATTGTCCAACAAATGAGTAGCACATAGTGCACACTCATCAAATGCTACTAAATACATAATTTCAGAGGAGAAAGGCACTTTAGTGACCATTTAGCCCAATGGTTCCCAATCACAATCACTTGTGGGGCTAAAGAAATACACAGATGCCTGGGTCTCCCTATTTCTACTGCTTCAGATTCTAATTCAATTGTTTGAGGGTTGGGCCCAGAAACTGGTATTTTTTTTTAAAGATTCCCAGATAATTCAAATATGTAGTCAACGTTAAGAACCACTGAATTATCACCAAAGAAAGCCCAATCTCCCAATTTTATAAAAGAGGAAAATAAAGTACAGAAATGTTAAGTGACTTAAGTCACTGAACTCTGACTTGGAGTCCTATTGTTTTGCCCAAAAGTCTTACTTATGTGCTTTTCCTATCAACAAGAGTATTTTACATACAGACTATAGTGACTTTAAGAAGATAATGTAGATTACTTCTGGTAGGGCATGCTATTCCTTTCTAATATAGAAGGCTGTACTGAATAGTAGAAAATAGAAATAGAAGTTATAGGAGTTTGGCAAGTAGAAGAGAAGTTGTCTGCCAAAAGGGAAGTGGGGTTAATTGGAATGGAATAAGAGGGAAGTGGGATTGGTGCTGGACAACCTTGTGATGGTTAGCATATCCTTCCACAAAAAGGTTCAAGTATCTGCAAGACCTTAGTTTTACAGTTAACTGTAGGACTCAGAAAGCGGAGACAAACCAGCAAGGAATATATTCAGCAGTTAGAGTGAATATCTCCAGTAAGTTATAATACTCTGCCCCATGAAATTATGATCATTTCAGCAAATGAACCCTTGATTTATTGTTTAGAAGACAACCCTTTGTTCTTCAAGTAAAAAACTATGACCCAAATTATCATTAGCTCTGTTCATCTAAAGTATTCACCAAAATACCTGTGTGGCAAAAAGCTTACTTTGGATTTAAAATGATCTGCAAATCACTGTGCACAGATGGGATCGAAACCTCATGTACCACACAGATATCCATGTTCTGATGGCATATTGAGCCATACCTAACTGATCATGGGGGGTTCCTCTGAAGAGAATTCTGTATGTGGTGAGGAACAAGGCTCCTTCTGCTGGCAGGAGCTGAGGGCCTCCAAGAAGACCTCCAGTAGCTTCTTCTCTTCCATCAGGATCCAGTAAGACTCGAAGACCCTCACAGACAATTTCTTCTCCTGGCAGCAGAGCAGGTCTAAGAATCTTGGGCTTACAACAGAAAAAGATTGATTGACTGATTGACAAATTGATTGATTTTTGGAGACAGAGTCATGCTCTGTTGCCCAGCCTAGAATACAGTAGTGCAATCATAGTTCACTGCAGCATCAAACTCCTGGGCTCAAAAGATCCTCTGACCTCAGCCTCCTGAGTAGCTGAGACTACAGGCATGCACCACTATGCCTGGCTGATTTTTAAATTTTTTTGTACAGACGGGATCCTGCTACATTGCCCAGGCTGGTCTCAAACTCCTGGCCTCAAGCAATACTCCTGCCCCAGCCTCCCAAAGTGCTAGGATTACAGGCATGAGCCACCATACCTGGCTAGAGAAAGTATTGTAAACACAACTTTTGTGGAGTTTCTAATACTCAGACCATGGTGATCTTTTCAATTATAGACCTAAAAATCTTAAGCCAGACTTCCCAGATAGTCACATGAGAAAGCTGATTTGGTAAGAGGCAGAAATGAAGTTTATACATCCAAATGTGGGAGGATTCTTTGCAGAACTGTCTAAAAGTAAAATCAGTGGGAAACAACTCAAATATCTGAAATATTCATTCAATGAAACATTCTGTAACCTTTAAAATATGACATAGATCTATATGTGTTAACATGGAAAAATATTCAGAAGGCCTGGTGCGGTGGCTCATGCCTGTAAACCCAGCACTTTGGGAGGCCAAGGCAGGTGGATCACTTGAGATCAGGAGTTCCAGACCAGCCTGGCCAACATGGTGAAACCCTGCCTCTACTAAAAATACAAAAATTAGCTGGGTGTGGTGGCAGGTGCCTGTAATCCCAGCTACTCATGAGGCTGAGGCAGGAGAATTGCTTGAACCTGGGAGGAGGAGGTTGCAGTGAGCCAAGATCGTGCCACTGCACTCCAGCCTGGGTGACAAAGCAAGACTCCATCTCGAAAAAAAAAAAAAAATCCAGAATACATTGATAAGTTAAAAAAGCAAGTTAGAAACCAGTATGTACATTATAATCTCATTTCTGGAAAAAGAAAAGGAATTGTAAGACTGTGAACTAAACTATTAAAGGCAATGGTATCATAGTTAAGGGTGGAGGTGGAGGTAGTATAGGGAGGACTACAAGGGACTTTCACTTTGTACAATGTGTATTTCTTTTATGCTCAAATTTATACAAAGAACATTATTACTTTTGATATTATTTGGACATTATTATTTCTGTTTTTGAAAAAAAAAAAAATACGGAGGAGCTTTTAACAAGACCTGTCCTTCTTGGCCACGTAATGAACATTTACACAACTCAGGAAATTCTGACTCAGTAACCACATAATACATTCCTCTGAAGAGTTTAGGGCTAGGAAAAAAAATCTCTCCTGAATGTCTAATATGCTTATTTTTTACTAAGCAATAAAAACTAATCAGCAGTATTCTTTTTGTTGGCTCTAGTGACTTTAGAGCTAAATGTAAAGCCAAAGTATAATAATCACTATGTCTCAGGTTTCTGTTAGAATTATATTCCTACCTATCTGGCTTCTGCTCGCTCCTATGAATGAATGAATGAATGAATGAATGAATGAAATTAATTTACTTATTTATTTATTTATTTGTTTATGAGACTGGGTCTTGCTCTGTCACCCAGACTGGAGTGCAATGACATGATCTCAGTTCACTGCAGCCTCAACCTCTTGGCCTCAAGTGATCCTCCCACCTCGGCCTCCTGAGTATCTGGAACTACAGATAACACTACCATAGTTGGCTAACTTTTAAATTATTTTTTGAAGAGATGGGGTTTCATCATGTTGCCCAGGCTGGTCTCAAACTCCTGGCTCAAGTCATCTGCCTGCCTCGGACTATCAAAGTGTTGGGATTATAGGCTTGAGCCATGGCTCCTGGCCTCAATTTGTTTTTGTTCTATTATAAAGTTCTGTTATATAGGCAACAGGGTCCTGAACCATAGTCTACTGGCACCAGACTACAAAGTACTCATCTGAGAGCCTTGTTAAAATACAGATTTCCAGATATGTCCTGAGGTACTCCGATTCAGGAGGGTGGGGTTGGGTCCAGGACTCTGAATTTTTAATAGACTTTCCAGCTGTTTGGGATGTATAGTCAGATTCAGAAACCTGGGTTTTTTATGATAATTGCCTTAAATCCTTTTTTAGGGGTGGGGGAGGGGGAGAAAATAGGCACAAAATAAAATCTTGGGTTGGGCTTAGAGGTTAGAAATGTTCCTAATTTATGCCCTGCCTATAAAAGTAGACTCAATGAGAGGTTATTATCGCTCCTTTGTTGAATCCAAGAAAAGATTCTGTTCCTATTTCAGTATCCTTTTTATAAGGTTCTATATGACAAACTCCTCTGAAAGTTTAACATATCATTAAAACTGGAGCTAGTGTCTGTAAAAGGTTAGGTGAACACACTTTCCTGGCACACAGCAGTCTATCGTTTGTTTTTAAGAAGAGAGGCTATACCCTGAAAGCATGTCGTCTGGAATTACTACCTTCTGAATAGGTGGAAGTCTTCTGCTTTCTCGATGTACTGCTTCCAGGGTCTCAATGTGCATAGCTACAATTCCTAGGATGAGTCAGAGTATTCAAAATGAAAGAACACAGACAAGCAGAATAAAAACAAATTCTGGATATTTTAGAATTAAAAGTTAATTAAAGTTTAGTGGTTCCTCAAAAAAGTTAAAGAGAATTACCATTATGACCCAGCAGTTCCACTTCTACATACATACCCCAAAGAAATGAAAGTAAGGACTCAAATAGATACTTGTATGTGGATATTCATGTATTATTATTTATAATAGCTAAAAGGGAGGGAGAAACAACTCAAATGTCCATCAACAGATGAATGGATAAAATGTGGGACAGCTATACCATGGAAAATTACTCAGCCATAAAAAGGAATGAAATTCTGATACATGCCACAACACGTATGAACCTTAAAAACATTATGCTAAGTGAAATAAACCAAACCCGAAAGTACAAATAGCATCTAAGTCCACTTATGTGAAATATCTAGAACAGGCACTTTATAGAGACAGAAAATACATTAGAAGCTACCAGGGGCTGCAGGATGGGGAAACAGGAGTTATTGCTTAATGGGTAGAGTGTTTGGGGTAATAAAAAAGTTTTAGAAATAGATAATAGTGATGGCTGCACAACATTGTAAATGTAATTAATGCCACTGAATTGTACACTTAGATTGTTTTCTGTTATATATGTATTTTACAACAATTTTAAAACATTTTAAAAACTAATCAGAAAATAAATAAATAGCATGGCTGAACTATATGGAAGACACGTATTGCCAGGTTTTATGCTGAAACTCAATAATCTCCAATATTCTGATTCTCTAATATCTGCAAAGTGATTACCTGGTATCATGCAATGAAGGCTCTTGATGTGATCCTGAGTAACTCCACTCTCTGTACAAACTTTGTCAATAAATCGGGTAATGAATCGCACAACAGAATTGGCAATGTCATTATTCTCTGAATCTTCAAACCCACTCTCTGTATCATAGCTCTCAGCTACACTTCCTGCAATACTAAGACAGTCAAGGAAAGAAATCATGGTCAGTACTCAAATGCAACAAATGACTACTATATAGTAGTCAATTTACATAGCAATTGAAATATGATCAAAGAGATGTCTACTCAAGTAGAAGACTCACTTAACTCCATGGCTCCTTGGTAAGTCATGGTGATAAAACACAACGTTCTACTTGTCTACATTTGGAAACTACTGTCAGGCATTATCCTTTGGACCCAGATTTGTTTCTGTAAGGAATACCTTTTGTCACTCTCCCAAAAGGAACCCAGGAACCACAGAAAATAAAGCAAAAGAGGATTCTCTCGTTTATTATGGACTACCTGGGCCTTCTAAAGCAACCTGTCCTCCCAAGTTAATTATTACATAGAGACCAAGTAATATGGCTATGTTTGGCAATTTGGCAACTGAGGAACATGTTTCCTGGTAGGCAAAGTAAGAGAATTTTTCTCAGCAACAGGCATATTCTTCGGTATGTAAGGACCAAACTGTCCTATGAACCTTTCTCTTGCCAGGATTTATCACTCTCTGAGTAAACTGCAACCCATTTGGGTTTTAGTTTCAGTGGTATGAGAAGTCACTGGAGGGTAGAGACACGGAAGGCATGGTTGAGGATATGACTATAAGGTTGAGGAAAAGGAGGGCTGAGAAACAAACAGTCACTTTTGCAAGAAGGTGCTCACTAATTTCTCTGGAATGATTTCTGTAAATTGCTTTGGCAGACAGTAACTAAAGGGCTGGATCAGTAATGGGTGAGACATTTGGAAAAATTAGGTCATAAAAAAGAAGAGAGTGTGGGAAGTGGTTAAGAATAGTAGGATGAAGTGAATCTTTTAGAGAGAAAAGCTGAAAAAGTCCAAAGGTGAGGAAAAAATGGTTAACTTTTGAAATATGTTAATGGTTAACTTTTGAAATATGTCAATATGTTAATAATCAAATATGTTAAAATTTGAGCAGTATTTGCTCAAAATGTTTAATATTATCTGTCAAGCCAAGACTGGTCCCAAGAAGAGTAGGAGGAGGGTCTGTGTGTTCACATTTTGGTACCTGTTTGTGACAATGCTGTTGCTTCCGCTCTCCCAGTCACCTGGTGCTGATGTTCTTAGGAGCTTGTTTTTACTTGTGTCGAGTGGAACTAGCAGGTTCACCATGAGGTTTGCAAAGTGAATGGCCTGACTAAAGACAGTGCTTTCCTCATGTTGCACTAGCTCTTGCTGAGTTAACTTGCTCAGGGTAGGCCAAAGGCGTAGTTGCTCAGCTGCCAGGTCCATTGCTGTCTTCTCCTGATATTGGTTATCAGGAAGCTTATCCTAAAAAATAAAGCAACACAATCCAAAAGAGAACCATCACTTCAGGTGAGCTTAAAAAACATAGATGTTTTAAATAACTATTCTATTAAATGCTTACATCAGCAAAAATGAAAACATAAACAAAACATAACAACCACAAAACAAAACCTAGTCTTCTTTCCCAGATCCAACAGGCCTTGAGTGGAACTATGTGACAAACCTCAGGAAGCAGCAGCAAAGCACCTTATAGCTTGTGAAGAGCTGGTATGTCTATGGTCTCACTTGTACCTAACCTAGGGCTGGCTCCGGGATAGACTTCTTTAGAATGACTGGCAAAGAAGCAGTGACATGTGTTTGCTCTATGAATTCTTTCGAGATGTGTCAATATTAACATTACAGCTGCTTAAAAAATTATCGAAAGCACCCCCAAAGCCCAATAAATTTCTGAAGTATAATGATAATCAGCCTTTAAGGTTGCTTTAAATTCAATTCATGAGGATAATTTCTAACAGTGATTATTACTGCATGCCAGGTACTCTTCAATGCACTTTATATATTAGACACTAAAATCTCATAATAATCATATCCATTTTACCAGTGAGGAAATAAGGCACAGTGAAGTAACATGACTTGACCCAAACCAGAGAGCTAGTAAATGATATTTTAAACTTTCAGAGTATTTAAAACTACTCTTTCAAATTAAAAACAATTTCCTTGATTTTAAAATATTTTCTGATATTTTTCATAAAAATATTTTATGCTGATGAAACAGAGAGAAACATATAGAATATTCCTAGAAGAAGACCTAGATTTATTACTGGCATTTTTTAAAAATAGAACTACTAAATTTTACATTTATTTTGGAGTCAATTGACTTTAATTTGACATTCCTCCAGGAAAGTTAGTTGCATAGAGAAGTATGCCTGTTATTTTGGGTTTGTTCTTTTTTTTTTTTTTTTTTTGAGACGGAGTCTCGCTGTGTCTCCCAGACTGGAGTGCAGTGGTGCAATCTCGGCTCACTGCAAGCTCCACCTCCCAGATTCACGCCATTCTCCTGCCTCAGCCTCCCGAGTAGCTGGGACTACAGGCGCCCGCCACCACATCCGGCTAATTTTTTGTATTTTTAGTAGAGACGGAGTTTCACCGTGTTAGCCAGGATGGTCTCGATCTCCTGACCTCGTGATCCACCCGCCTCGGCCTCCCAAAGTGCTGGGATTACAGGCGTGAGCCACCGCGCCCGGCCTAGGTTTGTTCTTTCTATTCAACTTCCTATAATCATTTCCAGGAAATTCTTATTTATTAAAGTATATTAAAACAATCCTAGTGCTGAAGAACTGAATTAAGAAGTTATTATGGAAAAACAAAATGTCTGAAAACAACAGAAGAAAGATATCACAGGGCTCCCTAAATAAAACCCAAATACACTGATAGGAAGTAGCTAGAGCTTTTTTTTGCCCTGGGAAGGTCTGCTTTCCTTAAAGCCAGAATCCTAATCCCACACAATTAGCGTTCTTTTCTTCTCTCTTACCTTTTGCTTCAGATGCGGGGCATGATTGTCTTCCTTGGCTGAGAGATAAAGAGAGCGAACCTGTTCCTGCACTGCATTGTAAAAGGTTGTCTCCCAAAACTGCTGATTTGTCCAAATGGGGTGGTCTTGTACACATGTATAAGCAAACTGGCTGACTCCAGGGGCAAGTTTCTGTGAGAATACACAAAATATATCACCATGGGGCTGGCAGAATTATAACAGTTCATAAGGTCACAGGGGCCACAGTTAATCATAGATGTGATCAAAGGATTTCTCTAAAGAATATCTTATGGTAGTACAGGCTTAGCAATCAGCAACTTACTCCTTTTTAACTGGCAACTGTGGGCTTGCTGTTGGATCCTTGAGAGTCTCAGTCACTTTATCAAAATGGGTATTTTAGTAACAGCTAAAAATCAAAGCTGTTATTACATCAATTAGAAAATACAGGAAAAGGAGGCACTGTAGATTTAGTGAATATTATTACAATTAGGGCATATAATAAAATCCATCACGATGTAAACATAAAACTCCAGATAATTTAACATTTCCTCTACTTGGCTTTAGGGTACTCTTTTTAAGAGACAGCAATTGATATGTGAGTGAACCTACAGCTTGGCCTTACACATAGAATGAGGATATAGCATGAATTAGGGACTCAGGAGAACCGCACTTTTCCTACTGCTCATTCCAGCCCATTACCTCCCCACCAAAGCTGCTGCCTGGCTCACATACTCTCTAGAAGACTGTCCTGGGCTTCAAGCGCATTTTCTGGTAACCAAATTTGTGCAGGGAAAGATAAACACAAATCAAACCGCCTTCCTTTCAGGGACTTCCTGCTGGGTTTCAGAGTAAGAGTAAACTTAAGAGATGATTAACAACAGAGGGAAGGAAAATGAACTCTGCAGGCATTTAGAAGGCACTTCATATATATTTAAGTTTGTTTAGTTCCAAAACCCCTGCTCGTTTTACAACATCAAATTGTCTTTCAAAAGAACTGAAAGTAAATCAAAATAAATTAAATGCCAAATTAACTGCCAATTAGCACTTGTTTTCCCCTCACCTTATGATTTTGTTTCCCAAAGTAATATTCTGCCTTGAAACCTCTAAAAAAACTTATATAACATTGCTTTTCAAATTTTAAAGATCATTTACACTGCTAAATTTCAGTTAGTGACTTGAGTCATCTTTCTAGAACTACTTCTCTCACCTCTAAAAGTTAAGAATGTTTCAAATTTTAAAAAATTCATAATTTTCCAAGAAAAAGTAGGTACCATTTTCAATAAACATTTTTTTGGCCCATTTTATTCTTTGGAATTGAGTTCATCTATTTTCTGTGAGTAGAACTAAAGTTTCTGATAAGTTTTCTTTTGAAGCAATTTAATAAGCCGAGTCTCTTCTGAAATGTTGGACACTGAAGATGATTACTAAGGTTATATAACAGTTACACAACAAAAGTTGGTTTATTTCTTAGGAATGTATACCAGATATATAAGACATCTGGTAAAAATTATATGCTTAATACATGCTAATCTCCTTTTTGGTCTAGAGCTGGAATAGGTATCATGAATACCACAAAACGTAGTGCCTGTGTAGTCAGAAGCCAGGTGGTTGTGATTCTGCCTTGAAGAGTCTCTGTGTACTACATGCCATGTGTAAGACCTTTTCAAGATAGGACTGTGTTACTGCTGCTGAGCTAACTGGCTATAACCTCAATTCTCCCTATTAAGTGGCTGTAAGTTGTGGCTATGAAGCAAAAATCAGGAGTTCTTTGAGGGTGCACAGGGATCACTGTTGGATTTCATGTCGTCTATCTGCTCATTTAACAAACAGCTACTGTCTACCTATGGGAAATCATGAAAAAAATGTGTGCGGTTTTGTGAGTGCGTAAGCAGAAGCCACACACACTGAATCACAAGCTCCTTATATACTCTGCATGAAGACACTTGGGACATGGATTACACACTTTTTCCTCCTTCATTTTTTAGTCCTTTACTGTAAGGACCAGCAATTATTTCAGTAGCAGTACACAAGCCTATTTTGTTTTTTTTTGTTTTTTTTTGAAGCGGAGTCTGGCTCTCTTGCCCAGGCTGGAGTGCAGTGGCCGGAACTCAGCTCACTGCAAGCTCCGCCTCCTGGGTTCATGCCATTCTCCTGCCTCAGCCTCCCGAGTAGCTGGGACTACAGGCGCCCGCCACCTCACCTGGCTAGTTTTTTGTATTTTTTAGTAGAGACGGGGTTTCACTGTGTTAGCCAGGATGGTCTCGATCTCCTGACCTCGTGATCCGCCTGTCTCGGCCTCCCAAAGTGCCAGGATTACAGGCTTGAGCCACCGTGCCTGGCCCACAAGCCTATTTTGAAACAGTTTTTTTTTTTTTTTAGACAGGGTCTGGCTTTGTCACCCAGGCTGGAGTGCAGTGGCATGATCGTGGCTTACTGCAGCCTCAACTTCCCAGGCTCAAAAGATCCTCCCACCTCAGCCTCTCTAGTAGCTGTAGTAGCTGGGACTACAGGTGTGCACCACTATACCCAGCTGTTTTTTGTATAAAAATTTGAAACTGGGAGGTGGAGGTTGCAGTGAGCTGAGATGGGGTTTTTGTAGAGATGGGGTTTCATCATATTTCCCAGGTTGGTCTTGAACTCCTGGGCTCAAGTGATCTACCTGCCTTGGGCTCCCAAAGTGCTAGGATTATAGATGTGAGCCACCATGACCAGCCTGAAAGAGATTTTAAAGGCACTAAACTCAAATGAGATAAAACTGTAATTCTCAACTGCCTTTACCATGAGTATACTAAGGGCAGTACCATTTCTTACAAATGCAGCATAACATAATCAACGGCGACTCTAAAAATGTTGAAGTCTTGAAATTATATTAATATAGATAAGCTCCAAAAAAAACGAGCTTTATACAAATCCTTATCAGATTCTCATAAAGCACTTTTAGGACAATCAACACACCAAAAAAGTTATTAATTAAACATCTTTTATTAAAACTTAACAGAGATGTACAGGAATCTGAGTGTATAATGAAGCCCCACCTTTCTTCAGCATTTTTCTCACTGATGGTGTATATTTGCTTTCCTTGGCACATGTGAGTTGACATTACAGGTTGAATGTCCCTTATCTGAAATACTTGGGACCAGAAGTGTTTCAGATTTTGGAATATCTGCATTATATTTACTGGATGAACATTCTAAATCTGATAATCTAATATCTGAAATGCTCCAAGGAACATTTCTTCTAAGTATCATGCCAGCCTGCTAGAAGTTTAGAATTTTGGAGCATTTTGGACTTTCTTTTTTCTTTTTGGAGACAGGGTCTCATTCTGTCACCCAGGCTGATGACAATCATAGATCATTGCAGCCTAGAACTGCTGGGCTCAACGGATCCTCCCGCCTTAACCTCCTGAGTAGCTAGGACTATACGCATGTACTGCCATGCCTGGCTAATTTTAAAAAATGTTTTTTGAGGCCAGGCACAGTGGCTCATGCCTGTAATCCAAGCACTTTGGGAGGCTGAGACAGGCAGATCACTGAAGGTTGGGAGTTTGAGACCAGCCTGGCCAATACGGTGAAACCCCATCTCTAGTAAAAATATAAAAATTAGCTGGGTGTGGTGGCGGGCACCTGTAATCCCAGCTACTTGGGAGACTGAGGCAGGAGAGACACTTGAATCTGGGAGGCGGAGGCTGCAGCGAGCTGAGATCGCGCCACTGTACTCCAGCCTGGGCAACAGAGCGAGACTCCATCTCAAAAAAAAAAAAAAAAAAGAAAAAGTTTCTTGAGACAGGTTTTCACTATGTTGCCCAGGCTGGTCTTGAACTCCTGGCCTCATGCAATCCCCCCACCTCGGCCTTCCAAAGTGCTGGGATAGGATTAGGCCACCAAGTGTGGCCCAAATTTTTGAATTAGAGATACTCAACCTGTATCTTCATGTTTATTCACAAACTAAAAGTTGAATATGCAAAAACTAATCTAAGTAATTTGAACAAAAGGGGGACTATATACGTCCCAAGGAAGAAAAATGGTGCAAGACAGAGTGACAGTGGCCCAAAGGGGCCCACAGCCTGCTTACTAGGTGAGAATTACAGCAGGGTAAAGTGACTATAGTACAAACACTTGGTGGCAAGACAGACACAAATGGCTATGGCATCTGTGATAGTGGCAGTCGTCTTAGTAAACAGAGAAAATAAGTGCCTGTAGATAAAACGATCTCCTGATATGTGCATTAGAAATCATTAACCTCCAAATACTTAAAATATTATTCTTTTTCTAGACATGCAATTTGCCTTCTTTCTTTGTGGTTTCTTGCTTTGTCTGGTCAACCACAAGCAAGGAGCCCTGTGTGCCTCAGTGAGGATGGGCAGGGCCATTTCACTGATGGGTGTTCTCAGGACCAGCAGAGGGCAGTATCACTTTATTCTGCCTAGACGCTATCATGGCTTGATCTACAAATTGCAAAAATGGAACTTTGCAGTCAGCTTGGGATAGAAAGTGGGTGGTAAGGTAAATATTTCAGGTGTTCACTGTGCATTTGAGAGAATCTATAAAGAAAAAGAACTGTTCAGGGTCATATGGCAAGATGAGTAGAACAGATGGGAATAGAAATAAAGCTTTCCATTACTCTATGTTGTCTCTGTAAGATACAAAATTAAGATATTTTACAAACAAACCTGTAATATAATTATGTAGAAAAAGATGTAATGAGACTTTAGGGTTTCAAATTCAGTATAACCTGGGACAGTAGCACTAGTTTTAGTAAACAGAGAAAATAAGCATCTACGGATAAAACTATCTTCTGATTGTAATAATTTATTTTTAAAAATTTTCTTATTATTTTGTATTTAATTTTTTTATTCTAATAATTTCCCTGGTTTGAAGAAAAACTTTCCCAAGACAAGATGGTTTTACAAATTGGTCTGTACACTAGCATCATAATCTTTTAACACTGCACAAAGATGAGATTTAACTCATACTGAGGGTGTGAGAGCGGTGGTGCTGGTTGGGAATGCTTTTGCCAAATCACATCTCTCATTCTCTTCAATTCTGGCAACAATATTTATATTTCATAATAATTTTTATGATTCTGTCCTAAGGAAACAAGTGATATTGTGCCATGCAATTTTATGAGATGTTTAAGAATGCGTTGACTTTCTTCTTTATCTAGAAAAAATA